CCACAGGCACTGGGATGGGTGTTGAAAACACTGTGGCAGAAAAGAAAACATGAGATGCATGACTGCTGTTATGTTATTATTACTTTTCATTTGAGTACAGTTGACACACACAGTGTTACATTAATTTCGGATGTAAAACAGGGTAATTCTTTTTCTGATTATACAGTAGACGTAAGTTTACCTGGTATGCTGTGCTTACCACAAGTGTAACTCCTGTCTGTCACTATCCATTGCTATTATAAGTATCATTGACTATATTCCTTATGCTAAACATAATGGTGCATGTATCATTTTAAAATTTTTTTAGTGAGTTATGGGAGAGGGGCAGAGGGAGAGAGAATCTTAAGCAGGCTCCATGCCCAGCACAGAGCCCAACACAGGGCTGATAGGGCTTGATCTCACAACCCTGAGATCATGACCTGAGCCAAAATCGAGTCGGATGCTTAACCAACCGAGCCACCCAGGCACCCTATCATTTATTTCTTGACTTAGGGTATAACTGCCTGTAACGTGGATTATAAATTCATGCACTCAGAATAGGGTACAATCTGCAAGAATATAATCACACAGAAAGATACTCTACACTGGGATGATTGATGGTGGAGGGATGGGAGTGAGCTATGGGGTTACAAGAAAAGAAGTAGAAGGGTGCCCGGGTGGCTCAGTCCGTTAAGCATCTGCCTTCAGCTCAGGTCATGATCCCAGGGTCCTGGGATCGAGCTGCATTGGGCTCCCTGCTCAGCGAGGAGCCTGCTTCTCCCTCTCCCTCTTCCTGCCGCACCCCCTGCTTATTCTCTCTCTCTCTGTCAAATAAATAAATGAATAAAATCATAAAAAAAACAAAGTAGATAGTTAAATAGATAAAATGAGGAAAATACAGTGCTTGCACTATGATTGACCCTGAAAGTTAAATGAGATCCTGCGAGTTAGCTGTCTGGGACTTAGCCTCGGCTACAAAGTAAGGTGCACTTGGCTAGGGTGCGGTGTGTATTGCACCACTTTGCTGAAGCTCTCTTCCCGCATTCCAGGTCTTGTTTGCCACAGAGACTTTTGCCATGGGTGTAAATATGCCTGCCCGAACAGTGGTGTTTGACTCCATGCGGAAGCATGATGGCTCCGCCTTCCGGGACCTGCTCCCTGGAGAGTACGTGCAGATGGCGGGCCGGGCGGGCCGGAGGGGCCTGGACCCCACCGGCACTGTCATCCTGCTCTGCAAGGGCCGTGTGCCTGAGATGGCAGACCTGCACCGCATGATGATGGTGAGCCGGAGTGGGATGGGCTGAGCTGGGAGGGCCCCAACTCCGGTTACTGGCCCAATTCTCTCTTCCAGCCCTCTTCCCCTCCCCTTTCTTTGCATAGTTGACCCTTGAACAGTGTAGGGTTAGGGGCACTGACCTCCTGCACAGTCAGATAGCCACGTACAACTTCTGACTTCTGGAAAACTTAACTACTAATAGTGTATACTGTTGGCCTGAAGTCTTACTGGTAACAGACGATCAACACCTATATGTATGTTACACGTATTACGTGTTGTATTCTTACAATAAACCAACAGATAAGAAAATGTTATGAAAGCACTTATTAGAAAGAAAATACTTATAGGACTATACAATATTTCCTGAAGGAAATCCATGCATAAGTGAACCCATGAAGTTCAAACCCATGGTGTTCGAGGGTCAACTATACTTTTTTCTTTTGCCTGGGAGAAATCAAGGTCAGAGTGAGCAGATCTGAGGATTAGACTATCATCTCTAATCTATTGTCAGTGTGAAGACAGAGCCAGGTAGGACCTTTGAGAGTCTCTTTAGTTTTCTTCCCTTATTTTGCAGAGGTGAGTAAGCGGTTTGTCTAGGGTCCTATGGTTGCAGAGAGGGGACGAGATCTGCTTGGAGTAGAACTGGTCCCTAAGGGGCTGGCTTGGGGGCAGCTGGTCCCCAGCCCCCACCCCCGGCTCCGTCTCACTGGGTTCTCTGACCCGGCCCAGGGAAAGCCATCACAGCTGCAGTCCCAGTTCCGACTCACATATACCATGATCCTGAACCTGCTGCGGGTGGACGCCCTCAGGGTGGAGGACATGATGAAGAGGAGCTTCTCCGAGTTTCCATCCCGCAAGGACAGCAAGGTGAGGAGGTTGGGATGACCAGCATACTGCGCAGGCAGTTGGGACAAGGGAAGCCGGGCTGGGAAGGGATGGACATCTGGAGACCAGGGGGTGCAGGTGGGGAGGGTGGGACACTGGGGACTGTCCTTTCACACCTTCCCCCACTTCGGCCCAGGCCCATGAACAGGCTCTAGCTGAACTGACCAAGAGACTAGGGGCCTTGGAGGAACCTGACACGACTGGCCAATTGGTTGACCTGCCTGAGTATTACAGCTGGGGGGAGGAACTGACAGAGACCCGGAGCCTGATTCAGGTGAGTGTTGTGGGGGTGATGGAGAAAGAGGGGAAGAGAATGCAACACTCTGGGTGCTCCTGAACCTAACCCAGCCTAGTCTCTGTGTCCGTGATGCTTCCTTCTCTCTCCCCACTCTCTAGCGGCGCATCATGGAGTCTGTGAATGGGCTCAAGTCTCTCTCAGCTGGAAGGGTAGTGGTCGTGAAGAATCAGGAGTATCACAACACATTGGGTGTGATCCTGCAGGTGAGGGCAATGGAAACTCGGACCCCGGAGGGAGTTGGGGTGAATGGGGAAGGAGCTGGGTTGGGGGAAGGGAGGAAGGAACCTCATCCCCATCTTCCCCACTTGGCTGGGGGCAGTTGTAGTCACAATGGTATACTCATATGCGTTCTTGCTCTCCTTTCCTGTTGTTACCACTCTGTGCCTACCTCCTTGTCCCCTCCCGAAGACTGTTTTGACTTGGTTACCAGTCCATACTCGTGGGCTCTGCAGTTGCTTCATGATCACTATCCGAGGGTGGGGATCTGCTCCCGATCTTTGATCTCTGCTCCTCACATTGCCCTGGCCTGGCCTTCCCCATCTACCCTAGGTCTCCTCGAACTCCACCAGCAGGGTATTTACAACCCTGGTCTTGTGTGATAAGCCTGTGTCTGAGGACCCGCAGGAGAGGGCACCAGCCACCCCAGGTGTGCCCTACCCCGATGATCTTGTGGGATTCAAGCTGTTCCTGCCTGAAGGTGAACATGGGGCAGATGTCCGGGTTCCTGTCAGCAGTGTGGGCTGCTTGCCTGGGTTCATGGTAATGTTTGGTCCTGCTCTCCCCTTTTCACAGGACCTTGTGACCACACAGTGGCCAAGCTCCAGCCAGGAGATGTGGCTGCCATCACCACTAAGGTTCTCCGGGTGAATGGGGAGAAGATCTTGGAGGACTTCAGCAGGAGGCAGCAACCAAAATTCAAGTCAGGGATGCTGGGGGGGATCCTTTTCCTGGGGAGGGACCATGTAACAGGGTATGGAGAGGTGTGGCTGGGGTGGAGGGGCTTCTGTGGAAGAAAAGACTCTGCTCTAGGTTTCAAGACTTTGCTCCTTCCTCAGGAAGGATCCTCCCATTGCAGCCGTGACCACTGCTGTGCAGGAACTGCTGCGTCTAGCTCAGGCCTCCCCAGCGGGACCCCCTACCCTTGACCCTGTCAATGACCTGCAGCTCAAGGATGTATCAGTGGTGGAGGGGGGGCTCCGAGCCCGGAAGCTGGAGGAGCTGATCGGCGGTGCTCAGTGTGTTCACAGCCCCCGTTTCTCTGCCCAGGTAGGGTCCTGGATGCCAGCTCCCAAGCTGAGAGGTGGGGGTGGAGGGTGGGTTTCTCTTCTGGACCCCTGTACACTGGCCAGCCCCATCTCTACCCTTGTCCTTGGTGCCCTCCTGCCCTGGGGCATGGGGAAGGCTAACGTGCTTCTGCTGGTGGCTCTCTGCAGTACCTGAAGCTGCAGGAGCGTGTGCAGATACAGAAGGAGATGGAGCGACTACGCTTCCTGCTGTCGGATCAGTCACTGCTGCTGCTCCCAGAGTATCACCAGCGAGTAGAGGTCGGAGGGGCAGCAGTGGGGGGTGGGGGGCTAGTGAGGGAGAAGATAGCAGGCTCCCAACACCTACCATCTTTCTTCAGGTGCTCCGAACCCTGGGTTATGTAGACGAGGTGGGCACGGTGAAGCTGGCAGGGCGGGTGGCTTGCGCCATGAGCAGCCATGAGCTGCTCCTCACTGAGCTCATGTTTGACAACGCTCTGAGTGCCCTGCGGCCGGAGGAGATTGCAGCCCTGCTCTCCGGCCTGGTCTGCCAGAGCCCTGGGGACCCAGGGGAGCAGCTCCCAAGCACCCTCAAACAGGTATGGGACACCCACCCCACTTCTTCCCCTTGGCTGTGGTGTTCCCAATTCCCATTCCTGGGTGTTCTCCAGGTGACACCTCTAGCCCTGTTAAGTGCCCCTAAGAGCTGGGATGCTGCCTTCCTTGACCTGGGACACCCCACTCCTGGAGAAGGAAGGCAGGGTCTGAGCCTCTCCTTCCCCATCTGCAGGGAGTTGAACGTGTCCGGGCTGTGGCCAAGCGGATTGGTGAGGTCCAGGTGGCCTGTGGCTTGAACCAGACAGTGGAGGAATTTGTGGGGGAGCTGAATTTTGGGCTTGTCGAGGTTGTGTACGAGTGGGCCCGGGGCATGGTGAGTCACTGGGGTTTTGTGGGTGGCAGGTTGGGGAGAGGCTGCCCAGGTCTACCACATTCAGTCCTCACCCTGCTTCCCTCACAGCCCTTCTCCGAGCTGGCGGGGCTGTCGGGGACCCCTGAGGGCCTGGTGGTCCGCTGCATCCAGCGCCTGGCTGAGATGTGTCGCTCACTGAGGGGGGCAGCCCGCCTCGTAGGTGAGCCTGTGTTAGGTGCCAAGATGGAGACAGCAGCTACCCTGCTACGGAGGGACATCGTCTTTGCAGCCAGCCTGTACACTCAGTGAATGCCCTCTGTGTAAAAATGTAGTAATAAAACAGTAAGCCACCTGTGTGTACTGGAGGTGTTGGGCAGGGTCGACTCAGGCAAAAGACACAGCAAGAAGAACCACCTAGAAATATGCTTTTATCTGAGCACGCAGAGACAGGACCAGCCCTTTCAAGGTCTCAGTCTTTGGGGGAAGGTGTCTTGGGGGCTGATGGGAGGTCCCGGGTCACGGCTTCCACGTACCACGTGGGCAGGAAGGTGTAGGGTGTGTCTTGATGTTTAGACACTGTGACTGGGCTGCCAGGCTCCCAGGAAAAGAGATAGACAAGCCTAGGGGGCACATGGAGTCACAAGTTGAGGGCTGGAGAGCTCCAGGGACCCGGGGGCAGGGACAGAGCTGGAAGACTCACCTGGGGTCATCCTGGACAACTGTGTTCTGGGCAAAGCTAAGGAAGGCAGCACAGAAGTTCATGCACACGGAGGGATTCCAGCCATCACGGTCATTCTAAAGAGGGCCGAGGAGGATGGAGAAGATAGGCCGTGAGGGGGTGGGAAGGGGAAGACGGACTGCAGCTGGGAACACTGGACCTGTGGCCCTGGTGTGAGGGATGCAGGTGGGAGCTGCGACACCGATGCCTTACCCTGACATACTCGAACATCTCCATGGTAGGAAAGGTCTTGAGGGAACAGACGAAACCCTCTGGGTTACGGAAGCCAGCAACGACGTTTGGGACCCCCAAAAGGAATGACTGAGCCCACCATTTTAGGAGCTTATGTCTGTCAGGAAAGGCAAGGGGTCAGTAGGACCTTTCCTCCACCCTCCAGCTTCTCTCAGGTCCCTTTTCCAGCTGTCTTGTTCTAGGCTCTTACCCTACCCAACCCCATTCTGAACCTGTAGAAGTTCCTCCAGTGGCCAGGCCTGTGCATCTCCTTGGAGGTCTTGAGCTCCACATAGCAGGCAGGGGGCTGTGTGCATGGGGCCCGGGGGTCCATGCAGTCTACCTCCCCTGAGAAGAGCAGACGGTGGTTTCCCAGGCGGCTGCGTAGCACAGAGCAGTAGGCCACATTGGTGTTAACCTCCCCGGAGGGATCCGGGAAGCTTCCAGGTTTGTCTGCACAAGGAGAGAAATGGCAACAAGGGTGGGGGCTTTCAATCTCCGGGGAAGAGCATGTGGGCTACAGAGCAGGGGCAACTCTCACCTGCGCACATGTACTGCTCAAACTTGTACCCCATGTACATAAGCTCCCGGAGGAGGGGTGGCCGGGCAAGCCTCTGGGCCCGAGCTGCTGGTGTCTCTACTTCATTTAGGTACAGTGTCCCCTGGAAGCGGGAGGCCGCCAGCTGCCAGCCCTCCTGCTGCTCATACGGTGTCGTCAGCAATTTTGTCAGGTGCCCCCGCCACGTCACTATGGCCCCTGCCAGCCAGCCTGGACCCCTAAAGTGAGGAGTTAGAAGCATTAGCTCAGATGATTACCCCAAAGAGCCTACGTTCCTTCTAAAGACTGAACTCACTCCAGCCTAGGGGGTAGGCGCAGATCTCTAGATCTGTGTGCTGTACTTTGCTCACCCCTCCAGCTTGCCTCGGTGATCCAGGAGCCAGCACAGCAGGTGGTCCAGCCCCTCTTGGAGCTCTTCATCCCTGGGTTGGTATCTATCAGGGTATCCATCTCTGAGGTCAAAACTGGGGCCTTGGTCATTGGTAGGGGGTGGGCTGTAGTAGCGCAAGGCTCGAGCATCTCCGTGGTACTGGCGTTGTGCATCCAGGGAGAAGCAGCCCAGTTCGGAAGGGCGCCCATAGAAAGGAAAGGGCCCAGAATAGAGGGCAGGGTCTGTGGGCAGCGAGGATGCTGGGCTGGTGAGTTTGTTCCGAGGCTCAGCTACCTCTACATTCTCCAATTTTCTCTTGTTCTCTCTGCGATCCATGAGGTCCTAAGAACTGGACGTTGGAAAGTTATCCTTTCACAGAGGAGCCCTGGAAAAGGGAGACTCTGGGTTAGGACTAGGCGAGCCTACTGATGGCCAGGCTCTGGCCCTGGAACAGAACCAAGGCCAGGTGCATATCCCACCTTTTCCCTTGCCCTATACCCCCGCGTCCAGATGCTCCAAACGCAGTGAGCTGAGGAAGACTGTCCGGGCTCAGAGCAAGGATCTGATTGTCCCAAAGCCCGCCAACCTCCGCGGAGCTAAAGCGACAAGGCAGGTACGTCCGGAAGACGGGGTGGCACGCAAAGATGGTTTTCCGCCCTCCAAGACGCAATCATGCAGCGACAGTGGCTGGTAGACCCCTCAGCGGCGCCGGGCGGGGTGCGCTTCACCCCGCCGCCCACGCGTTCCGGGCCCTGAGAGCCGGCGGAGGGAGCCGATCCCCGCAGGCTTGCGGCGGTTCTCCTCCCCCGCCGGCTGAAAAGGCAAGTTGACGCCTCTTCGACCCCACGTCATCCTTCTTCCGCCGGGCGGACCGGCCTCCCGGGAGCCTGAGGTCACTGCTCTGCGCCGGAAGACGCCGTCTCCTTGGCCCCTCGTCTTAACACAGACCTCTTCCCCGGCCTCCTGACATCCCGGGATATGAGCCGGAAGAGACAGCGCCTGGTCCCGGACGCCTTTGGGCTGAAGAGGCGGCGGGAGCGAGGACAGGCAGAGGCGGATCCTCTGAGGGGCGAGTCGGGTAAGCGCGGCCGCCCCAGGGCGAGACGGGGAGCGGCGGGCGGTGGGAGAACGGCGCCCCCCGCCCTCCTTCCCGCCGCAGTGACCCGGTCTCTCCGCCCAGGGTCGGCGCGCGCGGCCGTCGCCGAGCTGGTGCAGCTGTTCCCGCGAGGCCTGTTCGAGGACGCGCTGCCGCCCATCGCGTTGAGGAGCCAGGTGTACAGCCTCGTGCCGGACCGGACGGTGGCCGACCGGCAGCTGGTGAGCGGCGTCTGAGCGACGGACGGAAGCAGCTTCCCGGCCTCACGGGCGCTCCCGAGGGTCCCCATCACTCAGACGCTCTGTGGCTCCGCCGGCCCTCGGCCGCTCAGCGGGCGTTCGGGCTCTCTGGGCCGGTCCTTGCGGGGCCAAGGAAAATGCCACAGACCCTGTTAGAAGACCCAGCGGCAGTAGGGAGCATGCCACATCGTGCAAGTGGAAGAGCGACTCTTGGGAAAACGGAGTCATCGGGCACAGTTGGAGCTTTACAGCGCTGGGAATGCAGGCGGGCGTCAGGTCGCGACAGGCCTTGTGCGGCGGTGGTGTTTCTGCCTTAACACGGAAGGCGATAAGCTAGCAGAGAATGTTAACCAGGAGAGGGAACGCTGTGTTGCGTGGTTTGGAGGTAGTGAGATGAGACGGGGAGATCAGTGAGGAAGATACTGCATCGGAGAACTGGTGAAGGCCTAAATGAGGGGAGAGCAGTAGGGAGGGCAAGGGTGGGTGAAGGTGAGGGGAGTGGGGAAGAGGGAGGAGTCCAGAAGAGTCAGATTTTCTGGATGATGGGGATTGAGTGGTTGGTGGAGTGAATAGAAGAGGAGGGCACTGAGTTGTTGGGGCGGATGATAGGTTTGATTTTGTACAAGTTGGAGGCGCATGGGGAGCATCCAAAGGCAAATGTGTAGTGGACAGTTGGATATGAGGGACTGGAGAGAATTCTGGGTCAGTGATACTAGGTTTGGAGTGGTTGAGGTATGAGCAGTGGTTCAGTCTGTGGATGTGGGTGAGATTGGGTAGGAAGAGTGAGTAGAGGAGTAATTTGTAACCTTTTTACAAACTTTAAAAGATAATGAAAGTTACGATTTTCTCACAAAAATATATACATGCCACATACATACAAGATGTATGTGCATTTTGTTGGGGGAGGGGATGTTGTTTCATGGGTCCTCTGAGGTCCAGGGTTAAGGACCTCGAGCTTAGAGTGAAAGAGCCAAATCTACAAAGCTGAGAGATACCCACGTTTAAGGCAGTCCTGAGTTCTGCCTGTATCAGAATAATCTGGGCTGCTTTTTCAAAAATAAAGGTTCCTGGGACTCACCTAAAGCTAATAGATGCAGATCTTTTGAGCATAGGACCTGGGAATCTACATTTTGAATTACTATCTCAAGTGATTCTTCCTTAAGATTTGGGACCCATTCATGTGAGGGGAAAGCATAGGAAAAGGAGTCTCTGGAAGAAGCTGAGAAGGAATTGCTGGAGTTAGGAGGAACCACGGAAGAGGCCTATTGAGAAATCACATAGATTGTCAAGGAGGTGGAGTAGCTGGCAGTGTTAGAACCCATGATTTAAGGCAGTGGTCAGTATAGGGATTAAGTAAAATAATATCCAAAATCTGTCCATTGGATTTAGCAGGTGGAAGATTAATGGCAACCTGTCAGGATGAAAGGAGGGAAGAAAAGGAAGATGGAGACTAGCTCCACTCTCATGAGGAAGTGAGTTAGATGGAACCACTCCTTATAGACTATTTGTTGTCTTTTTAATTTACTGATGTTAGCCTAAATTTTAAAAATGCATAAAAGAAAATATAAACACACACACAATTAAAAAATGTTAATAAAGCAGATATCCATTTAACCACTACCAAGGCCAACTATAGCTACATACATCAATCTCCAGTCAAAAGGACTTAATGTCCCTTGGTGGTAACTATGGTCCTAACTGGTATGATAATCGTTCCCTTGGTTTGCTTTATACCATCTGTATGATTACCTGTAAATTACATAACTTAGTTTTATCCATTTTTGACCTTGAGATAAACAAAATCATACTGTATATATGTATGTACTGTATTTATATCTTGTTTCATTAGGAGAATACTTTTGAAATTCTCAGTTTCAATAGTTCAGTAGCAATAGTTCATTTACTTTCATAGATTTCCTTTTTGTGAATATGTCTCATTTTGTTCTAGTGAAAAAAATTATATGTTTCTAGGCAATCTATCATCTGAATTTTCAAATTTATTGGCATAAAATTTGTAGTCTCATTTTATTGTTTATTGGATGTGTAGCAATGACCCTTTTTTCATTCTTTATATTGATTATCCCTGCTTTATCTAGTCCACCCATCCCTCCCCACCAACCGTTTTCTTGGTCAGTCTCACCAGTGGCTTATCAATTTTAATAGTTTTATCAATAGCTTTGTTGTTTTCTTGTACACATATTTTCTATTTTATTAGTGTTTATCCTCCACTGTTGTGTTTATTTTACTTTTTTCTGATTAATTTCATCCTCGCTTCACTTCTAATATATGCATGTCAAGTTGTAGTTTATCTTAGTAATGTGCAGATAGATATATATATAGTTTTGGTATATATTTTTGGCTACCATTCAGTTTAAAATATGTTCTAACTTCTTTTGTCATGTTTTTTCTTGGACCGAGGGTTGATTAGGAATGTATGTCTTAATTTTAATCTGTCTTTAATGTATGTGTGTGTTTTCATATTACCTACTTGTTACTGATTTCTGACACAAAAGATAACTGTGGTCAGGGAACCTACACAATATGATTTTAGTCATTTGAAGTTTATTGAGACTTGCTTTGTGCTATGTGTTCAGTTTTGCTAAATATTCTATATATATTTGAAGAGAATATGTATTTTTCAGTTACTAGTTTCTTAGTAACTAAAGTTAATGCAAGTTATTTCCTTACTCTTGTTTGTTCTATGAGTTTATGAGAGGTGGATTAATTAACTTTTGTGATTATGGATTTGCTAGTATTTTTTCAAATATTTTCCCTACCTTCTCACCTTTCCTCACCCAAAGTCTTGACTGTTAATTCCTTGAAGTCAGGGCCCATGTCTTAATCACTGTCTTATTTTAGTGTCTGGCATATGATTGGAAAATATATATTGATTGCTTGATGAGTAGAGGAGTAATTTGAGGTGGCTGGATGAGGTGGGTGGATGGGAAGGTGGGTAACTAATTTGAAAAGACTATTTAGTAATCCACCTGATTCTCTCCCCACAGTTTTTTCTTTGCTTAGAGAAAAATTCCCAGTGTTTGCAATAAAATATCCCTGCCTAAAAGTGCCCAGAATATATCAGAGTATTTTACCCTGATACCCTTCTTTTTACTCCCATCTCTCTGGAGACAGAAGGAGCTTCAAGAGCAGGGGGAGATCAGAGTCATCCAACTAGGCTTTGACTTGGACACCCATGGAATTATCTTCACTGAGGACTACAGGACCAGAGTGCGTGTAACTGTGTGTGTGTGTGATAGGGTGTGGGGGGCAAGCAGGGAAGTTGGAGAATGGAAATAAAAAGAGACAATTTTTCCACTCTGTGTGTTACAGAGAGGACACAGAGCTCTGGTCCGTAGTAATATAAAGGAGAAGAAAAGGAGGTAGAAGGACATGAGCAAAAGGGAAAATGGGAGGAGGAATATCCTGGAGGTGGTCAGTAGAGGCCGAGGTTGGGGCCAGACCTCATCTCTCATCTCTGGTTCCAGGTCCTCAAGGCCTGCGATGGCCGACCATATGCTGGGGCAGTGCAGAAGTTTCTGGCTTTGGTACTTCCAGCCTGTGGGGACCTTAGCTTCCAGCAAGACCAAATGACACAGACCTTCGGCTTCAGGGACCCAGAGATCACGTGAGACTTGGGGGAGTAACAGAGCTCAGGCATCTGAGACTTCCCTGCATCCATCCAGTCCCATCCAGCTTTGTCCTTTTGGTGAACCTGCCAAAAAGATAGATGGACTCCACTTTTTAGGAAAATGACCTTAATATTTGCTCCACCCACAAGAGAGGAGGCCTGTTTTTATCTGAGTCCTTGGAAAGAGCCCTAGTCTAGAATTCAAGAGATCTGGGTGACTAATCCAATGAATTTAGAGGCCTGGCAGACACCATAAATGCCTATTTTTTTTTTTTTTTAAGATTTTATTTATTTATTTGACAGACAGAGATCACAAGTAGGCAGAGAGGCAGGCAGAGAGAGAGGAGGAAGCAGGCTCCCCGCTGAGCAGAGAGCCCGACGTGGGGCTCGATCCCAGGACTCTGGGATCATGACCTGAGCCGAAGGCAGAGGCTTTAACCCACTGAGCCACCCAGGCGCCCCCATAAATGCCTATTGTGAACCCTGCTGAGACTAAGAGAATTGAGAACGGTAGGAGCTTGGATGCCCCTAAAACCTACATTAAAAAGCAGTGACCGGACAAGGGTGAAGTAAAGATTCCATTTCAGGGGGCCTTATCTGGCTCAGGCTCCCTATTTTGTAACCCAAGGCAAATGTGAAAGCATTTTATAAACTTTTTAGTAAGACATGGGGGAGCCATGGTGAGGTATACATCGGCAGAGGCAGGAGCCCAGAAGAAAGGCCCTTATTTCACCCCTGGGGTTGGGCTGAGGCTGTGTCAGGGCATGTGGTCAAGGAGGGCTTCTAGAAGCAGAAGGTG